GCCAGCTGGCTGGGTGGAGGCAGGGCTGGCAGAGGGCCCAGCTGGGGACCCACCTGAGTTGCAGGTCCAGGGCCGCAGTCAGGCAGGGCAGGTCCAGCAGCGCGTGCAGCATCTCCAGGGCCGTGTCCGCGTCCACCAGTGAGGGGAGGAGAGCCACAAAATCAGAGGTGAGGGGTGGGCTGTTCCAGGCCAGGAACTGCAGGGATGAGTGCAGTGGCTCAGAGGGGGCTCGGAGCCATGGGTGGGTGGCAGGGGAGTGAGCTGGCCAGGCCCCCACTGCTGCCACAGCTGCGATTCTTAGGAGGCATGTCTGGAAATGCTTCCTCCACCTCTGCATACGTCATGTCAAGAAATCTGAAAACACTCCAGTTTTTTTTTTACTAATTTTGTTATTTTTAAGAGACAGGGTCTTGCTCTGTTGCCCAGGCCAGAGTGCAATCGTGTGATCATAGCTCACTGCAGCCTCGAACTCCTGTGCTCAAGCAATCCTCCTGCCTCAGCCACCCCAGCAACTTGGACTACAAGTGCATGCCACCACACCTGGATACTTATTTTATTTTTGTAGAGATGGGATCTTGCTATGTTGCCCAGATTGGTCTCAAACTTCTGGGCTAAAGCCATCCTCCCAGCTCAGTCTCCCAAAGTTCTGGGATCACAGACGTGAGCCACTGAGTCTGGCCCTTAAGTTTTTTTTCTTTCACTCTTTCTGTTTTTGTGGCTACTCTCATACCCACATGTCAATCGATTGTTTCCCACCTGCCATGGCTTTCCTCTGGGAAAAGGACTAAGTCTCCACTGGGTTTACCAGGCCGTGCAGTAAGGTACCAGTCACAAAAACGACGTCAAAAGCCAAGGTCAGCAAAGGTGAAGGCACCGCGTGGCTCCAGGCGAGGGAATACTGTCAGCCCTGCCTGAGCTTTGTGAGAACAGATTCCCTCTGCTTCCCGAACCCCCCTTCCCCAAAGGACCCGCCCTCACATGTGCTATGCAGACACCCGGGACCCCACCTCACCCCACACTTGCACTCCAGGCCTGGGACCCACCAGGCTCCACGCCCAGCCCAGCCCCGCCCTGAGGGCCGCCAGGAGAGGGAGAAGCCCCAGCACTCGAGCCTGCGCCCGCACCGGACACCCTCACGTGCCTTGAAGAGGCTGGGGAAGCTGAGCCTGAGAAGGCCGAGGTTCCCGCCCAGCAGGGGCAGGCTGTCTCTGCAGAGCTGGACAAACTCGAAGGCCAGCATGGGGCTGTGGAAGTGCTCGGCCGGGACCCTGGTGAGCAGGTGCTGGTAGACGGCGTCCGAATCCATCGCGGCCGCCTCCCCTGCGAGGGCGGGTCCATCAGGCACAGGCGCCACACAGGCACCTGGGCCTCGTCCTGGACACGCGTCTCTGGCTGGCTGGGCCCCCCACGTCTCAGATGGGCCTCCAGGGCTCTGAGACGTCCCGCACGGGAAGCGTAAGCTGCTTTCCGTCCACCTCTCCCTGTCCTCTGAATAACACGGGACAGTCTGTAGAAGGTGCTGGCTCCACGACTTTTGGGTTTCACAGGCCAGGGACACGGCAAAGAGAGTTTCTGCTTATTCACTACTTAAAAGCTGAAAGATTCCCACCATTTAGCCCTAATGGTACAGAAAAGAAATGCCACTCTGGCCGGGCTCGGTGGCTCAGCCTGTCATCCCAGCACTTTGGGAGGCCGAGGCGAGTGGATTGCCTGGGCTCGCGGGTCCAAGACCAGCCTAGGCCACCTGGCAAGACCTCGTCTCTACAAAAAAAAAAAAAAAT